GGGATGGTGGGGCGGCTGGCAATTGACGTATATAGGAAGCGAGCGAGCGAGTAGAAAGGAAAGCTCGAGAACAGTAGCGCAGTAGGTAAGCAGGATTTCCGTGCTCGCTCGCTTTCCGAGCTTCTGCCGCGATACGATAGAGAAGCCGATGCAGGGGGCGCCTGTCGTCGCGGAGACGTGGATAAAAGCTCGTTTCTCGGCACGCGCGCTACCAGTACGTGGCGTGGCCAAGCACCGAACTACGCATCGCGCGGCAAACGCTCGTCCACCCTCATTTTTAGTTAGTCGATGACTCGCACCATCGCAGCTCTATTCAAACTAACTTGAACAGAGCTGCGTTTTTTTCAATTTAGACGACCAGTTTGATTCCGCTTAAACTTCATTACATAGTCATTTTGCAGTTTCGGGATGAATAACTGGCGTCGTTAAATCCAGGCAGCGGGGCAGCGGCGCAGCGGCGCATTTATCCAGTTAAAACGCTGTCGCCTCCCGGAGGAAAAAAGTAAAACGAGAAAATAAAGATAAAATAAACAAAAAAGGGAAATATAAAGCTGCAGGCCAAGGTACACCGGCTGGAGCTGAGAGAGAGGCGATGAGCTTCTCTGCGCTCTCTACTCTCTGGGGCTAATGCGGCGGAAGTGGACTTTCAACGATATTACCTTTAATCGCATCGAGCCTTCGAAGCTTCTTGCCTATCTCTTTCTAGAGTCGGCTATGAGAGAAGTGGAAGCGTAATAACTATAGCAAAACTTGCTTAGCTTTTTCCGAAAGTCTTCCGACAATAGCATTGGTATTGACCTTGCGTTATGCACAAATCGCCTCCTCGATTGGACGCTGTATCCGCGCGTCCATTTTTTTTATACGGCTTGTGTTTGCAGTTGCAGTTGAATTATTGCTGTCATTGTCGCTGCTCTGGCTAGGCTGCTAACGGCCGACCAGCAAGTGAGCGGCTGCGGGCGGCTGCGGGCGGCGGTGGGCGTCTCTGTTACATGCTCGGATGCTTCTAATGAATGACGGAGTGCAGAGCTGTATCGGTTGTTGTACCCGAGGGAACGATTTGCTAGGTTGAATGGAAGGAAGCCAGCAAACGGAAGGGCTGTAGCGCCGACATTTGCGTCGAACGCTTGGCTGACTATAACCGAGACGTGATTATTGGCATTCGTGACGTCAGGTCAGTTAACGAATGCACCTGACCAAAGTGCTAGGTAGACATGTATTCGTCGTCGCTACTCCCGCAATGATCCGCAAAGAAACAAGGAGCCACAAACGAATGAGGAGCTGTTTGTTGAAGCGGCACCAGAAGAAACAAAGCTCGAGGCGTCAATTAGCACCGAAATCACGGAAAAGTTGCGCCTGCAAAAGCCAGCGACTCTCCGAGGCTACCGACTGAAGTGATGAGAGTAGGCGGATCTACCGACGGATCGTCGCTCTCTGCTCGCGCCTCGCCCCACTCTTTTCGCCCACTGCAATGCTCACCGCGGCTGAACATCCTTTCGGAGAGAGGACGAGATCCCAGTGAGCGCGGTGGTTCGGCTGGTCGATCAATCGACAAGGCAAGTGCAGTTTTCATGGGCGTCGTCGCAGACGCAAACCCGCCGCGGCTAAATCCACGGCATTCCGCGCGGGGAGCTTTGACAAATTTCGCTGGCTGCTGGCTGATAAACACGAGCGCGAGCGGCGGCGCCGTCGAGAGCGGACTGCAACAATGCCGGGAGAGCCTCATTGTCTCTGCACGAAGACGCTGACGTATTGTGCCGCGACGCGGGTATTTGTTCGTTGCTCTATGGAAATAGCGCGGAGAGGGAGCCAGCGGCCGCTGAGTGCACGCGGATAGGCGGCCTTTGAGCCGGCAAATGCAATTATTGAAGTTTCTCGTGAAAGCTCTCTCCCCCTCATCTGCTCCCTCTCCCTCTCGTCCCTGCTATTTTTTCGATAATTGCCTTGCTCTCGCTGGCATGTGCCGGCTGATTTTTCATTTTTCGGCCCTCGCCTGCTCGCGGGGTCGTCAACATTTTCTAGCTCTGCGCGCCTCATCCTCAACGGATCAGCTGGCGTCTTGGCGATAGACCACGACGACTCTGTCGAATCAACTTTACCAAATCGATTTTAGTTGGAGCTCTGTAGCCGAGGTCGGGTGTCGGTCGCCCATCGTCGATCGCGTGCCAATTCCAATTCCGAATTGACGAAACGCCGCTCGAGTAATCACTAATCTGCGACATCGATATCCATAGCTTCTCCTTGTCAAGTTGCGCACGCACTTTCGCATCCCTCGACGACCTTTTCTCGGTTGTTAGTTTCATATCTGTGTAGAGATTCCTAGTAACAATCGCTGCTCAACAGGGTATCGACGCTGCAAACAAGCTAATGAATAAGTCGGGAAAAGGCCGAAGAAATGAAGAGTTGCACTCGAGGCCGGTTTGCGAATCGAGAAATACAGCAAGTGAAAATATCGCTGGGTATTTCGAGGCAGTCATGCAAGTTGGACGTGCAAGAGTGAAAAGCTGGAACGGCAGAGACACTTACAGGCCGGACGTCGGTCTTGGTAATTGAAAATCGATGCCCGCGGGACGAGTTTACTGAACGTGCATAATACAGCCGAAAAGTAGGGAAAGTCAGTCAGCGGCGACAAAGTGGACCTGAAATTGTCGAGCGCAGCTTTGCCTGCAGCTCGACTCGAATGAGCCTAGCATTATTCGCACTGCCAGCCTCTGTTTTCGTCTGCTGATCTTTTGGCGGAATATTACTGTTTGGTGCTCGTGCGAGCCCGTCATCGCAACTAGACGCTGTTTACAATACATTAACAAGGCGCCGGCATTCCTTTAATCAGGACAAGCGGGAGGGCAGTCGAAGCGCAGTTCGAGCGAGCAAAGAGGAGTCGAGGCGGCGAAAAACGAGCAGACAGCAGCCGCAAAGGGATCAAGCGAGCAAATATTGATATTTTTCAAGATTTTTCGTGTTTCGCGACGACTAATCTGGAAAAGGCTGCGCGTACGGAGGAGGAAGGAGGTGCCGCGCTCGCAGTCGGAGAAGCAGCCGACAAGAAGAAAGCGCAGTCGGGCCAAGAATAAACGAGAGGTCAGATATTCGCTGGAGCGAAAAAGCCAAGTATAACGAGGGCTTGAGTTTGGCGCTCCTCAAGGGGACTTGCGCTTGTTACTCCAAGTTGCGTCGATTGTTTGAAGATTACACGGATCCCTGCGGCAGTCTTATCAATCTTACGATTGCGCGCTCGTGCTCCGATATATGTTCTCCAAGCGAAGAATAATTTACGAATGCAAGAAACTGCTTTGGACTTGGACCGATCGAGCATCGATTTCGCGCAGCGACCCTCTCTCTCGCAAAGCAACAATCGGAACATACGAGTCGCGCAGCGATGCTTCTCCCGACTCTACTCCCCGACGGACGTTACGTCGTGCGTTGTAGAGTTTATGCTGAACCTCATCCTTGCAGCCTCGTCCGTCGGGCAATACCTCGCAATATCTGGCCTGCGCTCTTCCGGTTTTCCGGTTTTCCGTCGACGTTCGTTGCTCTTGAGCACGCACAAGGGCCACCGTTTGTGCGTCGCGCGATCTGCGACGTTTGTTGCTCCTCGGTACATAGCCGGTGCGAATACTAGTGGTCCTTATTCATCTGGGACGCGTACGAGGCAACTTATATCTGACGCCCGTGGGAGCTCGCGTTGGCTGGCACAGCGCGGGCCAACGAGAGCACGAGATGCCGCGCAATTGATTATTTTTCGTCAAGGTCCCATCCCGGCGCAATGCTCAACGTCTACACAGATCGACGAGGTCGCGAAGAGCTGGCGAAGAATCGCAAGCAGCACTCGCGCGGCCCAGTCGATCGATAAATCGATGATACTCCTAGGAATGAAAATTAGCGATTAGCATCAGCCTTCGCCGGAACGACATTTAGCAGCGGACGAGCAGCCGCGGACGCACGCTCGCACGCGTACGAAGCGGAGCAGCAACCGGTTCGACCCGAGCTGGCAGGGCCCTCGCAGTCGCCAGCGGATAATCGTCGAGCTCGCTCGCCGTATTTTCTTGTCGGCCACCACGCTAATTACTTCGTTCGGGCGATAAGGCTGAAACGCCCTGTGCGCGCGCTCGGCCCATCTTCCCAGCCTTTCTTCCCGATGACGCCGCGCGGCGCCAAATTAATCTTCTTTAAGCCGAGCTTCTAACTGTTATGACCTGATTATCGCTGCAAAATATGCGCGCAAGCCACTATTCCGCTTCTGAATATTCTACGACAGATTAATCTGTCGTTACGTCAGCTCTCTATTCAGATCGCGTTATTCAACGCGCTCATTAATTAATGGCCGCCTGCAAGTTAGCATTACTTTAGCCAGTGGATATCCGAGGAAATGCTACAAACGTTAAATTGTTCGTGGATGTCCAACGCACTGGCACCAACTCGTGTTGAACAACCAGTCGACACGCCACAAGTGCAGCGCACACAGGCCGGGCAAGCCGAGAACAATTCAAGCGCCGGAGCGGGCAGCGAGCGAGAAGGCAGCAGCGTGCGTCGAATCGAGTGCCTGCAAAACTTGTGCTCTCGCCGGACTGCACCTGCAATCGCCTCTGGCCGCGAGTTCGCGGCGTCGATCGCAGCCATCGAGATAATGCCTTTGTTGCGTGCCGCGGAAAGGCTTGCCCACGGGACAGTCGACCGAGCGTCTTCTCCACGCAGTAGTGCGCCTCAACGCTACGTCAGCCGCGTCCGCGCCATCGATCTGCTCGGCGGCATCGGCCAACGGCGGCCGCGACGGCCGCGGGCACGCGCGCGGCGCACTGCGAGCCGTCGGGCAGGCGAGCCGCGCGGCCGCGCAACACGTCCGCGGCTCGGCCGCGGGGCGCGGGCCGCGGCGGCGCAGCCCCGCGCGCGTCTGCGCGCGCAGCGCGGCGCACGTTGCTGCGGCCGCGGGCGCCCGCGCGCTTGGCGATGCGACCGCCAGTCGGCGCCTGCTCGCGCGCTCAGGTGCACGTGCGTCGCTGGCGCTGCTGCTGGTGCTGCCGCGCGCCCCAGTCCCCGTCGGATCCGAAGCGCGACGCGGAGGCCGCCTTATGGCCTTCCTCAAGCGCAAGTGCAGGTGCCTGCAGGCGCGCGACTAGTCGGCCGCGCTCGCCGCCGCCCGCGGCGCGCCGTGCGCGCGGACTCGGCGCCCCTCGGCGCCCGGGCACCGACGGCCCACGGACATGAGAATCGGGCGGCGGCGCGGCGGGCGAGGCAGTTTCGAAAAAGCGCGCGCCGGCCGACGACTGCGGCAGCCGTGGTGCCTGCGCAGCCCCGACAATGCCAGCGGCCCGCGGAGGCCGCCGCGCAGCTTAGCTAGTTGCGTGCCCGTGTCGGTCGCGGGCGACTCGTCCCCCCTCGGCTCTCCCGCGGCGAGCGACCCCGGCGACGCGCAGTGATTTCCGCCGGCGCCTCGCCGACGATCGACCAGTCGCCGTTGGCGCGGCCGCGCTCGGCCTCCGCCGAGCCACCCTGACCGTCCACTCTGCTTCGGTTTCGCCGCGGCGCTGCACCGCTGGCCGGCGCGACGGCTCGCAGCCTGCTGGTGGGCGAGTTCGCGGGCTCCGCCGATGCCGGGCCAGCCGGAGACTACTCGCCGAGACGAGCCGCAGCCGTGCACGGCGCGGCACGGACAGCGAGGCAGCTGGGTACGAGGGACGCTGCGCACCGGCGGCCGCTGCTCTGGGCGCTGACGTTTGCCGCCGACGAGCGACCGACAGTGGCCAAGATATCGCGTGCCAGTTTCATCCGACTACGCTCGTCTGCCTTCTGCCTTCCCGTCGTCCATGCGATCATCCGGTCCCTGATCGACGATTGTGTGCTCACTTTTTTACGCGAGAACAGAAGCAACATCGACTAAGTGTTATTTTAATATAAAGATAGGTTTAATGCTCGAAACATCAAGACAGCAACAAGGTAAACAAGACAGAGAGGGAGCAAAAGAAGAAGCTAATAAGGCAACTATATGCTGGTTGGCGGGTCCAAAAACGTAGGCTATTTCTAAGCGACTGTCTCCGGCTATCGATTGTCGAGTCAGAGATCAACAATCCATTTACCTGTATAGACAAACTACACTTTAAGTATCAATATATCTGTATACCACACTTCACAATATACGGCGGTCCAATCGTTTTCTCAACAACTCTCATCAAGTGGTCCAATTTTTTCCTTTGTTTACCCAAGAACAATCTGTTCTCCGATCAAAGTGTCCTGTGGTCCAACATACAGTGTCTTAGATCCTTTTTAAGTACCAGTATACACGGAACCTAATCTTAAGCAAAAAGACAATTGAAGTGGCAGTGGGAGCTTTTCAAGAAAATAAAGGAAAAATACAACAAGAAGCAAATCCCACGAAATCTCTATATTCATATGGATTGGTATATACAAACATACATACATACACAACATACATACATATATATTTATCGTGCGTGTATTTTTTACGAATATTTATGTAAAACTCTGCCAAGTGACAGGTGAACAAGTAGTCAAAGTAGTGTAGTCAGTGATATGCCGATCAGCGAACAAGCGGCGGCGGAGCCTGGCTGATGAGATATGGCGTCTTCGAGTCGTTACAGCAGCTACAACTGTCTTACCAGCTGGGACAGCTATGATCGCATTCCAAGGTACTTTTCTGCGTCTTCCTTTCTTAATATTAATAACTTATATTAATAACTTATTAATAAATAAGTGCTAATATTTACGCTGCGTACTAATTTTATGCTGAGGATTCATTAAAATCAGTGGCGTTCCCGCAGAGCCGCTCAAGTCTATCTCATGATTTTCAGATATTCAGGTTTAAAGTTCCAATGAATACATTAGATCGGTTAATTACTTTTAAAATTATTATTGTACTAATAAGATATAGTAAATTTTTTCCGAAACTTTACGTAGAGTTAACTTAAGATTAAGCTTTTGGTTCGATTTAAGTCAACTTATATCACAGTTTATTTGGCACACTTGACTGAGATATTTGCCATGGCTATACAGCGTGACTTTGCATTGAATCTTGTTAAAGTTTCAGAACTCGTCCAGCTTTTCTATTTTCGAAACAAGATATTCACTGTGTCACGCGAATGTAGAATCAGCCGAGTTGATTGTTCCGTTAGGCAGGATGTTTACGAAAAACAAGTTCAACTACACAATGTATCTGAAGTTTGAGGGACTCCAATGAAGGTTTGAGCTTGGAAAAGAGCTACTCGAGCCATAAGAATTCAGTGTCAACTCAATTGTCATAACGCTCGAACTTGGCCGGTTCTGTTAGGATGATATGCTTTCGATCAATTTAATTTGTCGATAAATGAAAAAAGTACTCTGACTCGACGTGCATTCCTATTGGATTAATTTGCTCTGGAATAAAGTTATTATCGAATGAACTTGGCACTACGAAGCAATAGAAAAGCTCTGACAAGCTCTTCGGTGACTAATAAAATAACGGGGATTTCGAAGGGGAGAGAGCGGCGTGGCTTTGGAAAGTAACGAAGGAGGCGAACGGAGAGCGAAGGCTGCAGGTTGGAAACGCGCGATAGTTTTTCGCTGCGGCTACAGTGGAGTATGACGGATTGGTAGAAAGCCGTGTCAAACGGACGGCTCGTGCGTAGCTGTGGTGAGATAGATGATCGATCGTTTGTCCGAGGTCCGCTAAATAATGCTTGAATGATCCGCGACGAGCAGCGGCCAAGCCAGCCAATGTTTGTCATCCATTTTCATCGCAGTTATTTACCGAGGCTACGCGCTCTCCGAGCTACCGTCTAAATTAGGACGCGACAAATAGGCTATTAGGTGCGCGCGCGATCGTATCACCCGGAAGCGCTCCAATCAGCAGAACGAGAGAGAGAGAGAGAGAGAGAGACGCTTAATCTGTGTTTACGGCAGGCAACGGAAAGAGCGAAGGGCGCCAGCCCACGAGCCCACGAGCCCACGAGGAGGGAAGAAAGGAAGCAGGCGGCGAACTGGCGAACTGGCGAACTGGCGGCCGCGCGTGAGCCGAATCCACCGCAAACAATTATCGCGGCGTGCGGCCCTCCGACAATAATAATCTCGATGATGCGGCAATCGAGTGCGTGGCCACGGCTGGAAAGAAGCAACTGCAATTGTCGCTCGTTACTCGCGTGCTTCCATTACCGCGGCTAGCCGCAGCTCCGACTCGCGCCTCGAGGCTCAACGACACCAATTAGACGCGGCGGCCGAGGACCAGCCAGCTCGATCGATCCTTATTCTCCGTATGCGAGCTCTGTAATCGCACTCCTTTCGGGAAGAGGTGCATCGAAAGAGATAGAGGGCGCAAGCCATCCGGCGAGCAGGGCCGCTCCACGGCAAACGAAAGATCGCGAGCAAGCGCTGTCGGATTCCAGCTCGATCCAGTTGGACCCAGTTGAATGGTTCGCCGATCGGACGCTAACAAACGCGACGACGAGGAACGAGGCAGCCGGGAATCGGGGGAATCAACGGTCAATTCTGTGCTGATTAGGCGCGGCTTGCTGGCTGCTCTTCTCGATTGCTCGGGTATCTTTCGCGACTCGCGAAGGACAACGACGCGATCGCAGAGATTGGCACGTAGGGGGCTTTCCGCCTCGAATGCAGGCCAAAGTCATCGAGCCAATTCGACGAATAACCGGTGCTGTTAGGCGCGCGCTCTTAGAGACCGCGAAAAGGTCGATTGCGGACAAGTTAGGCGCTCGGAGCTTATCCGAGTGGAGCGAAAGAATGACGAGGTTCGATCGTCTCGGGGCACGAAGGCAGGAAGGTATGATTTTGTCATTTCAAACTCGGCATAGCCTATATTCCGTGCCTCGTGTTGAAATTCTGCTCGGAGATTCCCCGAAAGAAGCTCTACGTCAGAGTGAACTTTCGGAAGTAGGATGCAAATACCTTTCCACCTCCAGAAATGGTCGGCATTCGACTGCTTTAATACCGAGATTTTCACGGAATTTTCTTATTTCCTTGAAATGCCCTTCGACAAACACCATGGCGCCACGGCGCCACGGCAGGGGACGATTTTCGCAAATAATGAGCCGCGAGGAAGGCTCGAGGGAGAGTACGGGAAAAAAGAAGCAGACGTTGCTAGCGCAAACAAAGTGATCGACGGCTGCATAGACATTTCAGGCGGATGCGATAGTTGAGCTTGCGCAAAATCGAACGCGTTCCGCGCCGTATTAAATCGTCCTTCCGCGCGTCACTAAGCGCAACCGACGTGCAGACTCGCATACTACGTGAATTAGGAACGTCGCGTAAATGAAAATCCACCTGGGACTGGAACCGAATAGAGTCTCTAGGCGAGACAACGCGCTCAATTATTAACGTTCGCACTCAATTATTACGTTGGCAATGGTCAAGTGTACGCGTCGCTGCAGCGCACTCTTTGATTTATCATGCTTTCCGGTAGCTTGCCTTGCGCAAATTGCGGTGTAATTTTCTTGCCCACTTTTTCCCTGTGGTAGACTTTCTCTTGAAATTGAAATTTTATTACAAGATCCAAGACGCTCTCTATGCGGAAAACAGCGTCCTACCAGCTATAGGCACTGGCGGTGCTCCAGATTTTCCGTGTTTCATCTCTCGCCTAGGCGTTTACAAACCTTCCCTCCGTTAAACCAGCCGCGATGCTAACCAAATTGTCCATGACTTTTCAATATTTGTCCTTTCGCACTCTTTTAATCGACTAATGCTTACGATTATTTTATGTTTCAGGTGAGTTTCAGGCCGATAACTAAAGCGCTAACCGTGAGTTATTTGGGAGCACTATCGAGATTGAAAAATTTCAACGGAACCCTGTTTCTGACCTGTTAAACTTGCTGTATTCGTAAGGTATGATTCGTCGATAGTAAAGTTTGCAAGAGTGAGCAAGCTCTTAAAATGTGCTAACTCGTATGCTTACTTTGGTAAGTTCGAGTGGGCGTTGGTCATGGGATCGATCGACTGACTGGTGGCTCGATAATCGAGCCGCCAAGCCAGTGACCGACAGCCAGGGTATCGTAGAGGAAACCGACTTTGATGAAACTTTGCAAAAATATTCCCCATGAAGCGTTAAAAAACACACGATTGCCCTGAGAGCGGCTTACCCTTGCTTGCCTCAACTTATCCGAATAGTCTTTGTCGCTCGCTGCAACGACCCGCTCGTATATTAGACTGAGTCGTGCCAAGTGATTTCAGCTGCTCGTTAGGGCGCTTATCGCGTCATCGATCGCCTGCCGCTCGAAATTCAATGGAAGCGTTCGAGCAGCTGTCTACGTGTAACTGCTGTTGTTTGTGTCTGGGTCTGGCTGGCGGCGCTCTGGCCAAGTGAAAATACCAGTAGTGAAAATAGGCGAAGCTCTCCCGGCTAAGCAATAGCAGCTGCGATAACTCTGTGTTGCGGGGCACCGACGAGCAGCTCCCAGGACGCTGATAAATCCAGGCAACAGTGCTGAAAAATAGAGGCGCCGTGAGATCGGCTGCGAATCCAGCGACGCAGCTGTGGGATCCTTCCGAAGAGGAAAAGCTTCGAGAGAACTTCCATTGTCATCGGTAGCCATTTTCTCGATGATCCTCGTCGAAAACCCGTTAGGTGATGAGGTCAATTTGGAAATCCCGCTGGGATCTCGACCAGCTCGCAAGCTACGGCTACATCGATTGGAAATCTGCCTGCCGGCAAGTTGACAAGCTCTTGTCAAAGTACTTTTGAGGTACTGGAAGACGCAACAAGCTTTGTTTCGTCTTGTCGCTCACGCTTGCTTGGCAAGCTACCTAACCGTGGACCGGAAAGTTTGGCGCCGCCAAGCAACGACGACCAACCGAGGCTGAAAGCTTGCCTACGACTTGCGCACGCCAGCGCACACAGCCCCGGCAATTTTGCTTGCTGCAACCGCGAAAGCTCGAACGCTGGGCAATCCAACTGTTTTTCACGGGGCACCGGCAGTGCCGTCATCGAGCGCCACAAGTGAGCGCGCCGGCCAAAGAGAAAGAACGACCAAGAGGAAAAGCGGGAAAAGCGGGAAAAGCGAACAAAGGAGCGAGGCGAACGGCCACGAAAAAATAGACTTTATAGAAAGTGCCAGTAGTCGATTTTGCCTGGCCAGTGACTAAACTCTTGTCGTTCGGCGGTGCTGCGGCGCTGCGGCGCTGCGGCGTTGCGGCGCTGCTGCCAACGACAGCACTATCGGACCAAACTCCCACTCCTCTTCCTTTCTCTCTTTCTCTCTTTCTCTCTTTCTCTCTTTCTCTCTTTCTTTCTCTCTTTCTTTCTCTCTTTCTTTCTCTCTTTCTTTCTCTGCCCGCCTGATTTTCTCAGCTCAGCTCTATTTTTCACCAATGCCATTCTGCCTGGCATTCGCTTCGCTCTTCGCCTTTGTGCATTATTTATTTGGTATGATCCGCGCTCAGGCTCGATTTTTAAGATTACAAGCCAGAGCCCGCCATTAGTCCGCGCAAACCTGGCTCTCTTTCTTCGCGATGTTCTTTACGTTGAACCGACTTGGATACAACTTGCCATTTACGCACACGCGACTGCGTATCTCTTCAGAGGAGTCTTGCCGCTGCTTCTTGCGGCTCTTGTAGCCAAATATTTTCATCCGACTTTATTCCGTACAGTGGCTCTGAGAGTAACTTTCTATAGAATTTTGGTGCCAGACGCAAAAACTGTTTTTCCAAT